TATCTCATTATTAATTTCCAAATGTGTTATTTAGGCCCAGCTATTATGCCTGGTATTAATTTATTGTATTTAAAATGAAATTTAAATTTTAGAATATGTTGTAGCACTATAATAACCCTTAAAAACTTTATTTTAATAAGTAATATTTTGTTCATAACTTAGAATTATGAGACGATTGGAACTTTTAGAAGACTGAAATTAAATATAATGTTTAAAATGTTTTATATACTCTGTTCTGCTGTTAAGATATGAAAAGAATGTTAAAGCACTGTCAATGTACAGTAAACTACCAAACTGCCATAACTGAGAATTACATTTTTACAGTGCATAAATTTAGCAAATTATTGCTAAAACCAAGAAGCAGCAGAGAAGAAAAGTAATCAGATTCATTAGTTAGCATTCTGCTTGTACTTTATGGTCATGACTAATTATTTATTTATTTTGAGGAAAATGATTTTTTATTAAAATTGTTAGGGCCCATGATAAAGCGAAAGTGTTATATAATATTATAATTGAATAGTCTCTGCCTAGTTTCACAGTAGGTTTCTGGACTAAAGTTAATGTTTTTCTTTCTAGGCATTTGGGATGGTGAACTAGCATTTTACTGAAAATAATCAATGACCAACCTTTATAAGATTAACTGTAAATAAACTTGTGATGTGTGATTTTGATACTTGTCAATCCCCTACTTTGGCTTTCCCCACTTTTTATTTCTTAACTTTGATTTAGATATAGTGTTAATCAGAAATTTTACCTTATTTCCTGAAATAGTTCTAAATGTTTTCATTAAAATAACTATTAGGTATGGTAATATACTACTCCTCCAGCATTATGACCAGATTCCTCTTTGTGCTTGATCCAGGCTTTCAAAGTCAGTTCACATAAGAATGCTGAGGTTTGCCCACATCAGTGAGGCTCCAGATTTTGTTTTGATTACTCCCATTTGTGGGGAAATTTCCTTACATACGAAAATAAGAAACATAATTGGAAGACCCTCAAAACTTACTGATCTAATATGTAATACAGACATTTCTGAAATGTCCTTTTCTCAATTTTCTGTGTTTCTATAAGATGCTTGAGAGTTACTCCAGAAGTTTCAAGAAGTATTTTGAGGCAGAACTAGATACCTGAAGTTGACTTTAAACTGACCTGTTTAATCACCAAAGTTAAATCTCTACATTCAGAAAAGAATGCATAGTGACATTCCTTTGGTTTTAATGACTGCTGAATGTGCTTGAAGGTGACAATGTTCTTGGCTGTATTCAATAAAAAGTTCTGAGACCATTAAAAGAAAATCTACACCAATATGCATTTTCAAGATTTAGATTCCCAACTAATGAAGATAGGGAGACAAAGTTGATGTGCCTTAGAAGAATGGGCTGGGCAGCCCATCCAACCTTGTGGGGGAGCTCATTTCAAGCCAACACCATCCGTAAAGTGAAATAATTACTATGCATTTTCAATTTGCATCTTGAATGGGTCAGAATGCCATGGTAGGAATTTGTTGTGATAATGATTAATTTACATAAATCTATTTTCTTTTTCTGAAGTGTGTAAAGTATATTAGCCCCAAATCTATTACCTACTTTCAATCTCCATCAGGAGCTGCCAGTCCAGATAAAAGAACGCATGTTTTAATACGAACAGGCAAGAGTATTGCCTCAATACAAGTAAAGTGCTTCCTTCTCCATTTCAGAGGAGGTTCTGGCCTTATAATTTTGAAGGAAGCATTGACTTTATAAGCTCAACTTTTTCTTGTATGTTTTTTAGTATAGTATCATCCCCATTTGTATAGATCATAAATGTGTTAACATTTATGCTATACTGGTTAAAAATTTCAGCTCGTCCTCTGAAATGTTGTGATTCAGGCTGAATAGAGCTGGTTATCTATAATATCTTTTATAAATTCCATGGAGACTTTTGCCTCCAGTGCTTAGGATGGACTAGGGACTCACCAGCCTTCCCAGTCACGTGAAACTCTCTTTCATTGAGGCTTCCCATGGACCCTAGTGATGATCCAAGAAGCAGCTATTACTCTCCCATCTTTATATGACTTTAAAAAGAAGTTTTCTATTGACTTAAAAGATGTTTAAAATGTTATCTATGTATACCTTTATTTAATAACCCTTGCAAGAATTCTGACACCAACTTTGAAGGTGATTTGACGTAAATTCTTTTGCCTGGAAATCAGTAGATTTTGACATAGAGATAGAGAGAGATGTTTAACTCACAGGTTGTCTATTCATTTTGAAAGGAAGAATCAATCATTAGCACCCGCAGGTAGTATCTAACCGACACCAGGCCAGCTGCAAATTTGGCTGTGGTCTTAATTTTAATAACATGACCTAACTTCAGCATCACATGAGGTCAACAGTGTTATAGTCTAGATTTCCCTAGGCTTTCTGTACCTGTAAACACTCCATGAGTCCTTTAACCATACTCACTTACTGGGTTGAAAAGACTACAAACCCTTCTAATCCACCCAATGTTGAAAACTGACCTTGGATTATCCTCTTGTCTTCAAGGAGCTAAAATGAGAAATGTACTCATATGCCTGTAACTAGCATACTGCTTTCTCTGTAAGCCTATTGGAGAGGCTTCTTTAAGGAATATGTAGTATATTGTTGATGAAAATTAGATAAACTATTAACTTAGATGTATAACAATCCTCATTTCTGGGATGCATATTATAAAATAATAACTATAATGAAAACACAAATGAATAATATCTTCCTCATGTTTGGCATTTTGTAGTTTTCACTGTCCTTAGAGAGGCTAATTCATTTGCCCATAGACATAAGACCCTGGACTAGATTTAGAATCTAGGTCTTGCAACTAGTAATCCTGTACCCACTTATTAAAAATAATGATAATAATAATCATAAGAATAAAAACAACCAAAATAAACCACAGCAGCTAACTGCTAGCTCTTTGTGAACCTTTAAAACCAGAAAGGAATTTGAATTCCAGTCAGAAACAGGCAGTCAAATTATATTTATTCATTTGTTTTGAGTGTTTCTAGCTGCTCATTACTCAGTTCATTAATTCTTTTTAAAAGATGTTAATGTTATTGGTTGGATGGTTCAAAAATGTCCTGAAAAGATTTTTAATTGTTGTAAAATAATGGCACTATAGTAAAAAAGTGAAAGAGAGGTTACCAGAAAGATTTTTTCTCTAAACTATTTAAAAACTATGTATTTTAAATGATTATCTGTCACAAAAGTAATGAGTTGATTTTTATTATCACAAATGCAAGTAGGTATGTGGAGTAGCTTCTTTTAAAATAGAATACCTGCTCTACGTTTTTAAAGTGGAGATTAGGAAATATAAATATTCATTACTTCAATTTAAAATGAAATTATTGGATGAATAAACTCCTAAAGGCATATTAACTCAGAATTCTCCTTCAGATAATTTTACTTATACTGAAAAAGCTCAATAATCTGTTGTAATGAAACCCAGAGGCCATACTAAATTTAAAAAAAAAATGTTTTCTGGGAAATGTTGGTAAAAAGGAGTAAAACCAGTACCTGATAGTATGTTGAACTGATGTATTTTTCTCCAAGTTCTTTTGCGTAATTGAGTTTATTTCTTAAATAAGGAAATCTAAGATTAAAGAACATGAAAACAAATTATTCCCCTTTAATCCTCATGCTTAAATAATGTTACATGCAAAAAATATTATTTTTAAAATGATTGTGTCATAAGTAAGAAATTTATTTTCTTTATACTAATTTTTGAATTTTTTTCTGCTAAATCATTACAAATACTGTCAACCTTATAACAGTAGTATCAGTATTAATTTTTCTAACCATGCATGATTCATTTGACCCCACAGTAGTTATAGTTTGCTTGCCTTGTTTTTTCCCTGAAATTAAAAAAAAAAAGTGTATAAAAACACAATGTACATCTGCTCTACATAGCAAGACAGCAGAACAACTTAATTCCTAATCAACTGTTAGCATTTTATTGTTTCACATGTGGATTTTGGAGATAACACACTTATATGACTTCTCTGAACTTTCTGTGTTGAATGTGCACTGTTGTTAAACTACTTGTTTATTCCCTGCCTGCTCTTTGAAGAAGTCAATTAGGAATAATGGGAAACAAGGGGTAGGCAAAACATTGCAGTGCAGTGTTATTTCCATCTGTCTGGGAATATTTCAGCCAAAAGTTTATTTTGGGAAAAAAAAAAAAAAAAGAAAGAAAAAGCCGTAATGCACTCTCCCACACACAAAACCACAAATACTTTGGCTGCAAATTATTCTGCAGTGTTGTTGCTGTGTTGTTGCCTGTGTCCGTTCTCGTGTGTAAAGCTGCCACCCACTCATGCATGTGTTTGCAGATTCTCGTCTGTGTGCTTGTTCATGAATTAGCTCATCCTCCTCCTGGTTTAGGTTAAATTTATTGAAGAGAACAAGAATTGATGGGTATGACTGTTAGCTGGAAAGCCCTTCCTCACTTCCAAGCCTTCATTTCAAACCACATCTTCTGCTGAAATTTCTCAGTGGGATGAAGTGTTCAGTATCAGTCAATCAGTCTTCCATGTCACCTTGCTCTGCATAGGTCTTTGACAATTCTTGGAAAATAATTTAATATTGTGTTGTTTCAGTTACTCTGCATAAGCAATGGAAGCATTTGGTAAGAATCACAGCCTTAACTGTGAGGGGTTGAATTGTCTTAGTTCTGCTTGCCAAATGACCGGGAATGAAGACTACTTTTTGGTGGAAAGAAAACCCCAAAGTAGCAACATTTCATGGAATCAAATGTCAATAATAAAAGAAACTCCCCTGTGAACCTGTAATATCAATTAAAATCAACGTTGTTCTAGGATAGCTGAAATGTGTGATTTTTCCATTTTGCCTTTTCACTGACAGTATACCCATAATTCTTGGTGATTACTTTCTCTCCAAAGTTAAATTCTGGGCCATTGGTGACAACATTATCTATTGTTCTAAATTGTTGTCTTAACTACATTCTTTAAAAATGTAATGTTGAAGGCGCATAATATTGAAGATGACTCCAGGATGAACCCCGAGTTTGCAGACCGAATAAAACAGCTTGATAAAGAGGCCTCTTTCTACCGTGATGAGTGTGGCAAGGCCCAAGCAGAAGTCGACCGGTTGCTGGAGATCCTCAAGGAGGTGGAGAACGAAAAGAACGATAAGGATAAGAAGATCGCGGAACTTGAGAGGTAAATGTTACAGCGCTGTGAATTGTCAACAGTGAGTGAACGTGATTGCTTTGTCGGCCATCTTGGGTTGTGGGGGATTTGGAAACAAGTTATGAACAAGGAATATGGTGTGTTAGGGATGATGTTCTGTTTCTGTGGGCTACCAAGAAGGTAACTGACTGATCTTTTGAGGGATATACCTCTTCATTGTTTAAGAAAATAACAGTCGACCTCCTTGAGCATTGTCCATTATCTAGCATTTTGGCCAGCAAAGTGTGTAAGAAATTGAGGCTTTGACCTGAAAACCTCAATTCTTTCCCATCACAGATAAACACTGGTGTTTTAGGTTTGTCTTGAGAAAAAGAATATGGAAGAAAGTAGTTGGGAATTCTTCATTCAAAATCGGGGAAGGGGGAGGGAACTCATATCCTTTGGATGTCTTTTGGCAACCATGACAAATTCATGCTTGAGATTTATCTTTTAAGAGGACTTTATAGCACTTGGTAAATAAATATGCTTGCATAAAGCCTACATGATAGCAAATTCTGTCTAAAAGCAAAGAAGTTATATCAGGGTTCCAGAGTATTTATTTAAATTTTCAGATAAATCATGGCCATATTGTATTTATGTATAGTATGGACTCTAAAAATAAGCTTGTTATCAATGCTTTTTCCTATATTTCATATAAAGAAAGAACTTTTCAAATAATCTTTTTTTTTTTTGTTTTTTTTTTTTTTGTTTTTTTCTGTGTCCGGCCACGGATCGCAACCCTCAGTGTTGCCCCCGCACCGGACTGGGGACCGGCAACGGGATCGCAACCCTCAGTGTTGCCCCCGCACCGGGCCGGGGACCGGCAACGGGATCGCAACCCTTGGTGTTGCTCCCGCGCCTCGCTCAGCCAGTGAGCGGGAACCGGTCTGTATGTGGGATCCGAACCCTCGGGCGGGAGCGCCGCTGCGCTTCCCAAGCGGTGCACTATCCAGTGCGCCACCGGGCCGGCCCCCAAATAATCTTATGTAATTCCATAACCTCTGAGGATTTCTTATTGGTTCAGTAATAAGGCAAAATTTGTCTTTCCTAGATTCAGTCCGTATGGAAGAGATCAGCAAATTTTGAATAAATCAGTGAAGGTTTCCTGATCGGGAATCTTTTGAGGCCCTAAGGGACTTCAAGAGGTACACAGAGTAGCTCTATGTGGTCTTGCAGAAAGATCATGGGCTTTAACCACTGAAAGACCTGGGTTCAAATTTTGCTTGTGCTTTATGCCAGCTGTGTGGCCTTGAATCTTATTAGAAGTGAATCTCGGGGCCGGCCCGGTGGCGCACTGCTACAGTGCGCCGCTTGGGAGCGCGGCGGTGCTCCTGCCGAGGGTTCGGATCCCACATACAGACCGGCCGCTCACTGGCTGAGCGAGGTGCGGGCGCAACACCGAGGGTTGCGATCCCGTTGCCGGTCCCGGTCCGGTACGGGCGCGACACTGAGGGTTGCGATCCGTTGCCGGTCACGAAAAAAAGACAAAAAAAAAAAAAAGAAGTGAATCTCTAAGAACCTATTAAAATGTATCGTGCTTTGCAAGCTCCTAGTCCATGTGTAAGATGGAATACTTATATCAATGCGAAAACAAAAATATTCTCAATATTAACTGACTTTATATTAAATGAGTAGGTTAGTTCCCAATAAAATTTTAGCATTTTCAAATATAGTATTTAATACATTAGAACTCTGAATCGATTAATATTTATTTTAATGATCTTAGCATTTGTTTGATGATAATCTGATTTTTATTCAATGTGACCACTTTTAGCAATTAAATCAAGGAGTTCTTTTTTCCTGAGGTAACTGTACAAATTAAAATCCTTAGGTACTTCGTTTTAATTTTAAAATGTGGGAAATGTTCTGCCAGTGTACTGGTTCTTAAAAACTGAGAACACTGATGATTTTAGATATATCTACATGGCTATTTTGGAGCTACATTTCAGGAACAAAATTCTTCTTAAAAGGCAAGCATGAGATCACAAGGAGGTTAGAATGATGTCTCTTTTATTGGTGAGAAAACTGAGACGTTGAAAAGTTGAATGTCCTTCTGGAGACTGGTTCTGTGGTCCGAAAGATGTGAAAATATAACACAGGTTTCCTGACTCCTAGTCTACTGCGCTGAGAAGCAGTAAGTCATATGCAGGGTGCCCTAGATAATAATACTGAAAATATTAATAACAGCAATAATAATCATCATAATAGGGTATGTATATTTTATGCTCACAGTATACCGGGTACTCTGCTAGGCACTTGACCTGCAGTACTGTATACCACTTAATCTTTCCCAAAACATGGAAACTACCATTATTTCCATTTTATAGAGAAGAAACTAGGACTTATGCAGATTAAGTAACTTCCTCAAGGTTGTAGAGCTCTTAAGAATCAAAGTTGGAGTTTGAACCCAGGACCAATGGATCAGCCACTAAGAACAATCCCTTCCACCAATGGACCAGAAGAAAGAAGTTAGTTCAGTTGCACCAAACAGCCATGCAGCCAGTAGAGATCCCTGCCTGAGCAGGTTCTGCTGCTGGGCCATAAGAGAGCTGCCTCTTCTTTATTAGCTTTCATAAGGGAAAGTGATGTGCCCCCCATTTAGAAGGCATTTTCTGCACTAAACCAGCTTCCCAGAATTGTAATTGAAAATCTGGATCTGTTACCATAAGTGTTTACATTTAAATAGCTTAATTGTCTAGTTGGACAATTGTTGTCTTAGCTGGACACAGTTGCCACTAAATTATGAAGAATATTCACATTTTTATTTCTTCAAGATGGAATGCATTAAAGCAGCAGTGATTTTACAGGCATTTATCTTTATGTACTTTCTGCACATTTTCTTTATCTCTGCCTCTGCCTCTCCTTAAAGCTGATGCCTCCCAGGCACTGTAATTCATAAAATGTGTGGTGGGACCTGACTCTGTCCCAGTTCTTTGCCTGTCTGTGTCTTGGGTCCAGCAGCAGAACATAGTCTGGGAAATGTCTGAGCCCCTGCCCCAGCCCAGGCCCCTAAGGAGGAGGGGGTGGAGAGCCAGAGGGGAAGCTTCTTGGGAAAAGGAGGGCTCAGCTTTGGCCTGCCTTTCTGAAGCATTATCTGCTGGGCTACATGTGTATTCCAGCAAAAGCATCTTCCTCAAGTTGTCGGGCAACCTTTTTCAAATTGGGAAGTATCTCCATTTGCTGGCTTAAACTACAAAATTCATACCTCATAATGTTGGGAACTAAAGATTTCTTAGCAATGTGACATATATCTCCATTTTGGAGTCATGGAGAAGTGTTTGCAATTAAGTTTGTGATTTTGAAAACCAAAGTATTGAACTTGAAATAAATATGTGGTCTCTGGCTTGTAATGTGACCTACCAGAGTGAAAAGACCTCTTTTTAAAGCAGCTAGTGTTCTAAAATATTCCAGAACTTCAGTCATATGCAACAAAAGGTATGGGGTTAGAAATAACTCAAACGACCCTGACATGGGCCTGCTTCTCTCTCGGAGGGCAATTTGTGTTTGCTTTCTAGTCGGTTAATCTTCCCATTCCTGATTTTCCACACAATGTATACATTCCAAATAGCACATGGCTGGTGTTTACACGATGCATTTACCTCTTAAATTCCACGTGAATGATGTTTTTCATCAGCCATTAAAATTTTTGCTTTTTAAAGTGCATATCCTCTAGTGTGGTCCCTGTGTGCAGTTCTGTCTGTAACCTTCTGTACTTGATGCTGCTGGCCCAGTGGGGAGCTTCTGCCTCAGACTGCAGGCTGCTCTGGGGAGTTCGCCACAAGGTGGGCTGTGGGCCCTGAGTGCCCCTGAGAATTGGTCCAAATCAAGCTGAAGTCTTCATTCATCACCAGTGCCAGATGCCACATATGTGACACAACCAAGTAGTAATCAAACCTGAGAGGCAGTGAAATATGTGGCACTTCTGTGTTAGTGCCCATCAAAGTCTCTAAGTTTTATATAGAGTTTCAGAATTAATCCTCTGTTGCCCTAGGGGAAAGAGAGAGGTTAATAGAGTCTGTCAAACAAGACTGCTGCCACTGGGTTTCTCGCATCCCGCCCATGGGAAAGAATCAGTCGGGTGACCTTTCATGTAATTATCTTAAATATGTTAGAGGTTTTGTTGGTATTTGTCTAGAGGATTGGGAATGCCCAAATTGAGCCCTCAATCACATCCCTCCCTACTGTGGAGAGGAGGGTGGGTCCCTAGGGGCTCTACTCGTAAGACATAACATTGGAATGGAAAACAAGATACCAGTAAATTATCTGGATCAAGGACTAATGCCACCAGACATTTGGACATTGAGATATCATTTTAGATGCCTAAAAGAGCCTTATCTAAGATTGAGAAACAGACTATTATTTTTCCTTCTGATTTGCTCAATAATGTGCTGACATAATTTCCTTGATGCCTTTCAGAACTCTTTTCAAAACGTGAACTTAAACTTTATTATTATTTTTAAGTTATGATAATATGTTCTAGAAGTTTTATGGTTCATGGAAGAAACTTGATACCAGTTCTATTTGTTTTGATATAAACTCTTTTTGCAGAGTGATTTCCACTTATGTTTGTTAATGTATTTGAGGAACTTTCTTTAAAATTTCTTCAAGTGGCATATGTTTATACACCACTCCTAGCAACCTTGTAGGGAGGACATGGATGCCTTTAAGAATTTGGTGAAAACTAGGAACCCTTGGAAAAGGCAACTAAATCTTAAATATGTGCTTGCTATTTCAGTTTAGGATTCCCCAAAGCTTGGCCATGAGCCTCAGTTTAATTACCTCTGATCCAGAAGGATTTGAAATGGCAGCTGGGGCCAGTGTTGCAAAAGTCCCTGCAATGACCGTGGCCTGCCCTGACCCTCATTTCTGATCAGCTGGGCAGTTATGATCATGAAACGCTCTGCAGGAGTATTTCAGATATGAGCGATTATTGAATCAACACTTTCACCATGTGTTTAATCTTGAATTTTCTCTTTGATTTTTATCATTAGAGTTAAAACTTTTTATTTGAAATGTTTTAGTTTAAACTTCCTGATTGGAACATCACATATTGCACACAGGTATTGATATTCAACTCTGTACCCCACAGATATCAGCCATGATGCATTTTTTTAAAAAGCTTTATCCTGAGTATTTTTTGTTTTGTTTTCTTTTTCCTTCCTGTGTGAAATGCTTAAAACAAACTTGTCATAGTTTGGAGCAGTGGGGTCCCACTGAGCAGATAGCTGGTCAAGTATTTGTTTGTCCACTTTATTTTTGTAAAGGTCATTTTACACGTTAACAAAATGAATGTCCACTATGTGCTCGTGTGGTAGCCTGGAAGATGATCATGATTTCTTTGTTTTCTTTTTTGTTTTGTTTTTTGCTTGGTACTAGCAGCTATTGTTTTGAGTGATTAGAAGGACATGTTAGATATTTTTGTACTAATAAGTTATCAAGCATCTGGATATTTTCAGTGATGAAGTTGGAACCTCCTTTTTACAATTGAGAAAAAATAATCTCAGTTTTGGAAGTTACTTTGTCCTTACTCGGGAGGCTGATTGGCAGGTGGCACTCCACCAAAGCCGTCTTCGTGGGGTCTATGATCATCGCTAGGTACAGTGCTCTGTGAGTATCTAAAATGGAAATCTTTGAACCAAAAGCCAAATTGCTCAGCTCCTTTGGTTTTCAGGGACGAAGGAAAAATATCTCATAGGATATAACCATCCAACTTACTGATTCAAATAAAAATCTTTCTGACATCAGTGCTTACTGCCAGGTCTAATACATTCGTAATTTCCATTTCAGCTTATTAAATAATAAAAATTTGTATGCACACAGATAGGAACTTTATCTATACATATTCCTCTGGAAAAGGGCAACCTGCCATCGCGCTGCAGGGAGCCCACCTCTGGTTAACATCCGTGCTTGTTGTGATCGTGTGTATGAGAGCAGATACTGGTTTCTTATATATGATAGATAATGTGACAGCTTACAGTGTATGCCCAGGGTTTTTGGGGATAATATCAAATAAAATTTGCTTTATTGTCCTTCGTTTGGTTATAAAACCTGCTAGTATAACATCTGCTGGCTGTATGTTTAAAACTAATGCATTTCCTTCCTTTATTCTCTTTTGCTCTCCCTTTTCCTTTCTGCTTATCCTCCAAATTGCTGCTTTCACCCTTGCTCCAATCAGCTTGACTCTAAGGTCAGTACTTTCGGTTTTTCTTCTAACTGCCTTTCCCAGCTAAGCTCAATTTATTGCTTGCACTTGTTTAACAAACACATTTCTGAAATGGTTTTCCTCTGGCCACCATTTTTTTTTCCATTTCATCCCATGCCTAGGGAAGGTTTACTTTATGAGAAGGATGAATAGGTGGGAAAAGGCAAAGAAGAAGATGGGAATAAATTGCTGTTGGATTATTTGATAAACTTGATTCAAGGATTATAAAATCAGTCAGAGAAATTGTTGTGATAACTCCCAATATGTTTTGCCTGAACAGCTCAGAAAATTGACTGCATGATGATACAACATGGAACTGTGGAAAAAACAAAATGCAGGGTGCTAAATTTAACCTAGGAGAACAAAAGTTCTGCCTGTGACACAGCAACTTTAAAGCTGAATTTAATAGCACAAACCATTCATACTTTTCACTTAATAAATCACTGTGTTTTGAAAGATTAATAATTCTTTTCTTAAAGTCACTTTTGAAAATTATCAGTGTGTTAGTAACATATTGTATACACATGTTATTTCCTGACATTGTTTTGGTTTTAACTTTTTAACTTCATTTTTATTAGCCATAAGACATACTTTAATTATCTAGGGCATACCATATGGAACCCAGTGTAAAACTAGATTCATTTTGACTGTGTGTACCTGATATTTACAAGTAAAATGGACATTTTGTTTAAAAATGCATCTCAGATTTGATTTCTCTAATGTAGGAGGCTCGTGTCAATAATTTCTTCTTCCTTAAGTCAAGGAAGACTTCTCTTTCCAATAATGCATGGTAATATCCAGTGATTTCTGTATCTTACTGAAGGTTTTTCATTGTATGATTCAGGGTTATCTAGTCTTCAAAAAAAGGAAGTCCCAAATCAGAATGGTAGTCAGTATAGTTGCTCTCTTGAGGGGCGAGCTGTATTATTTTCTTCTCTATGCAGGATCTGTCCCCTTCTACTCTGTCCTTTCACCCACGCCACCAGACCAATGCATTTATTCCAGCAGTGAATAATTTTAAAACAAGGCCTCCTGCTCACATATCAATTTTGTTCCACCACTGGCTCCCAGCCTTTCTGGCTCGTAGTTCTTGACTACTCCTCTGCTATTCCCACATGCCACACTGGGTGTCGCACAGGAACTTCCCGAACTGCATCACACGGAAGGAAACCCTGTCCTCAAAAGTTCCCCCAACAGAGGCCTAGTCAGAGATTAAAAGCATGGCCCTATAGAACTGCCCCCACCCATAATTTAATGATGGTTAATTCACTTTCTGGAATAGACCAAATTTGGTGCACCCGTGTGCAGAAACACAGTCATCATAATTGGGGGCGGGGGGGGGGCGCTCAACCATGTGGCATCCAAATCTTTCTTCCAAGTTTTGGATCCACTCATTTAATGAAGCCTTAAGCTTTTCTCCTTGCCTGTCTTTTTTGCTTTTCTTTCTCCCTTTGCCTTCTCTTTGCTGCTGCTAATCTGTACCTCTTGATATTGAAGCCCTGAAGCCCTGAGACCAGGGACTCCTTCACTCTCACACCTCAGGCTCCCTGCCTAAGCCTCCAGTTTTTTTTTTTTCTACATTATGTTGTATTTTTCTTTCTGCATTAGAGACTTTTTTGGGTGGTAGTTAGTTTTTTCCTATTTTGTGATGAATGAACGTGAACTCTGACTCTCAGAAGATAGGGTACAGGGTTAGGGCTGGGAGGAGTTTTGGGTAACCAGTGGCTCTCTGGACAAGGGGCAGGATGTGCTGAATGGGTTTGGTAAAATGTACATGCCAAATCTAGTTCAGTGGACTATAGGGGTTAAATCAAAGTTCAGATCATTCTGACATGGTTTAATCTATTGCCCCAAATGAACATGATGGAGAAAATGTGCAATCAATGTGAATAATTGCTGATTATATTTTTAGTGTAGGAGGAATTGGGCAGCCCCGCCCTCTTGAAAAGAAAAAAGTCTGTCGAGTCCTGAAAGCTTTGACAAGTGTCCAGAGTTAACTGTACTCCTTTTTTTCCCAACCACTTCCAGATTTACCAGTTAAAGTGAAATGTAACAATTGAATCGAATGCAGGATCTCTTGCCCATGTACTTTCTTTATATGGCTTATAGTTGAGATGCATATGTGTGTGGATGTGTGTGTGTGTGTGTGTGTGTGTGTACATACATATATATGTGAATGTATATACATTTATCATATATTTTAGAAAAATCATGTCTGGTCTTTCTTCCCATAGAAGTTTGTGCTATGCCCTGTATATCCCCACTTCCCAGTCTGAACCTTAAAAACTTCACTAACTCTTACGGCTTTTCTATGTGCTGTTGACTCCATGGGGAGTTCTCCCCTCCAACTATGTTTTTGGAATACCTCTTTTCCTTTTTCTTGTAGACACTCATGCTTAAATTTAGGTGGACAGATATTAAATATTGGGTTTGGTAAAATGCAAATATCATATTCTAAACCTGTTCAGGTCTCCACTCCAGTAAACTCCACTTCTGTCAAAAATATCTTTACACACAAACCAGCGGGAAGCAAGAGAGGTTTTCCAGGATCCTTGTATTGCACTAAGGGGGAGGGTTAATGTGGAACTTGCTCATTTCTAGGAACTATTTGTTAGATTACCATGTGATTTATGACAGATGATGTTATCTCACTAAATGTATGCAGCAATCGACTAAAAAAATAAAAAGTATCCTTTGGACTTCAGTTCAAAATCCTGCTAGAGAATCATCCAAGTAAAACCAGAAGGCTCAGGCTTCTCCCAGGCTCTCCCAATCTCCAACTTACTTTGGATCCTGGGTCAACACTTCCTTGTTTGGGCCTCAGTGTCCCTTCATGGAGAGGAGGGAGCCATCTTGGGAGCAGGTCTTCTGGGATCCTGCCTGCACGTGGGCATCACACGTCTGATGGAGAGGTTGTCAGCGATGGGCCTTAGGCATCATCCTGCATTGAGGGCTGGCACCTGGCAGCAGGCAAGAGCTCATTGTTACGAGTCACTTCGAACCCTTCTACCAAAATAAACTCTTTGTGATGTTTCCCCAAACCTCAACACTGTCCTGTCGATCCCTCATTCTTCTAGCAAAAGATGAAGTCACTTCTCCCAGACCTCAGAGGTCTGTTGGCCAAAAAAACAATGAAAAACACCTTGCCCAGTGCATCTTGTTACTGTCCTGCATTTGCTCTTTGCTAGGGTCAGTTCTTTGCCTCTTTCCCTCCACAAGCACATAGTGAGCACCTACAGCATGTTAGGCTGGGTACTACAATGCTGGCCTGGCATTTCCAAAGATCAGCTGATGCAAAACTGACCAAACTGTTTAACAGATGCTGCATATTATGTTTTTCTTTTTTTATATATTCATGATGCAGGTTGATAATAATAGTAGAAATAGCAGGAGTAGCAGGAGCAACAATAATACCATGAAGCATTAACTAAGTGCCAGCGCTGATTAATCATTTTTTATGTAGTATTTACTTATCGTAATCACTGTATGAGGTCTGGACTGTCATTTTTTCCATGTTAGAGAAGAGGAAACTGGAGTTCAGGAAAGCTGAATATTGTGCTAAGTTAATGCAGCTAGTAAGTGAAAGAGTTAATTTTTTTTTCCCCCAAAAGCTAATCCTTTGTGATCTACAGATTGAATCATTTACCACTTCTGCTCCAATTGCATAGTAAAAGCTCTGAGAAGGCCTGCAGTAAGGAAACCCGTATAATTTTGTTAAATCCAGTTTCCCAAATGTGGTGTTCATGGAATATATTCAGTGAAATACGTTGGGGAAAAACTGTCCTTGCTGCTGTGCAGCCAGCCTTTATTCTGAGATTCACCTCAGTCCCCACTGATTCTTCCTGCACAAACCCCACCCCTCCAGGGCCAGCCAGCTGTGGCTTCTTCCACCAAGGCATCCCTGAGCCCACTGGATTGGTCTCTTGCTCCGTGCAGTGTACCATGCTACCCAGTGGAGATAGCAGTCGTGCTCTTGGATGTTGTTGAGTAAGTGACTGTTGAAGAAAGGAACTTTTGTTAGCTTTGTCTCACCTCTCCTGCCCTTTTCTTGGCCCCCATGGAGAGTTGCTGGTGTGCTCTTTCTGTAGGTTGAGTTGACTGCACTAGGTAGTATACCTAGGTTCAGACGAGAAGCCCTGAGAAAAGATGTGATTCATTTTCTATCAAGCTGGATGCTTGAAAGTTAAGAAAATAAAGACACAGATAAAAGAGGAGAAAAGATCTCTATCTGAACGTCTCTCATTTTCTCCACCTCCCCCTTCCTTTGCTTTCTCTCTTCTCCCTCCCTCCATCCCTCTTCCATCTACGTCTCCTCTTCCTCTCCTTCCTTGGGTGTGCATTGAAATCATTCTCCACACCAGGGTCTGTGCTAGGTGTTGGGGATATAGCAGTAAAACAGACATGACCTCTCTCCTCACTGAATTCAAAGACCAGCACTTCCTGTAAGGAAGGATTTGGCCACTAAGAGAAATAATTTGTCCCATTTATACTAATAACTGGAAAAACTGGGTTTCAGGTGTGTTTTCCCCCCTTTTCCTATTGGGGTTGAAGGGGTTATCCACAGGTCAGAAACTCATTTCCCTCTTTAAAGCTGCCTTATACTAATGCTGACATTTCTGGTGAAGTGTCAGAAAATTTTATGCCCAAGCAAAACTGGTAGAAAGCCAAAAATTGTCTGATTTTGCTTTGGATGCAAGTATTTTATTGGGGATGGAAAAAAGTTGTTTTCTCTGATTTACAGCTCCTGCAAACATAAAGTGGGTTCTATATTTAGAAATGGTTTTGAATCTTTGAGGTGTATCCAAGGGTTGGTGCTTGCAGCTTCCTGGTCCTGGCCTTGGTGGGACCTGCCATGGCTGATGTTTTGCTGAGCCAGCTCCGATTTATAGAACTAGGGCTTTATGCTCCATATTGTTTTTACTGGTTAGCTTTTGCTTGAGTTGCTACTCTGGTGTTCTATCTGTACCCTCTAGAATGGTGAAGGT